TCTCCTTCATCCTTCTTTATGTAGTAGACAGTTTTAACCCGATCCTCCTTCTTCTCACTGCACTGACTTCACGCTACTTACGATATTCTTTCCCCCTACCCCCCCCCCCAAAAAAAAAAACAGATCGAACTTCTCCCCTGTTGGACTCTACTCTAGAGGTCCGAGATCAACCTTTACATCGCTTGCATTTACTGTAAAACTAGTCCAACTAGTCCAGAATCCCTATGCTTACAGATCATCACTCATTCAGGATCATGAATGAGACACGTTGTCGCTAGCTTCTTTCCATCTATAGTCACGCTCATTGAAACACAAAATAGACGACTTCAAAAGTGGGTGAACGGGCGTCCCCATCTGTTCAATAAAGGGTTTCACTTTTGATAATATTAGGTTAGAGTAGAAACGTTTTCTCACTATACAACTACACCAACGAGTCAGGAACTTTCAGAAAAAATGCAGCCTTCTGTTTGTTGAGCTTCTCATACGGAGTACAAGCAAAAAGTTTGCTCTGATTGTGAAACCGGAATGATTTACAAAAATAAAAAGGTTCGTTCTAGCGCTAATCTTCTAGTTTCTAATTAGCCTTAGACATCTGCAAAAAGTTGATTATGAAGAAAGTTATGAATGTTTGAATGTCGAAAACTCGCGTGTGCACAAAAAACGGAACAACGGGACGATTTTTTGAAATATTGAACATCCACAACATTTCAAATACTTTTTCAGGAAGAAAACTATTTATATTTTTAAAATTTTGGTGTCCGATTTCATGAAACAGCTTCTGAAAGAAAATATAACCTTCTGAATGGAGGGGTTTGGATTGCAATTGCTACAAGGTTTAGTTTTTCAGATTATAAGGTAAGGAAAGTTGAGAGATCGAAAAAATCCTGGTGGGTTTCTGAAAGTAGAAATCTTTACGATTAAAATGATGTATTGGTTTACGCAAAAATTTGGAAATTCCTTCTATTTAATGAATAAAACTTCATTTGCCTCGATTCCTCCTCTGAGCGAGACAAAGCGCGCGGATTGACCACGGTCCACCACTTCTCCATGTTGGTGACTGCCATCATTGATGAGCATTGATGAGCATTAAATTATGTGAAAGACATGATAGTTAATATGGGGGGTCGTACCGATACCCTCCCCCGAAAAGGAAGGGGGTCGTAAAAATTTTGGAATTTGCGCAACACAGGGTTGACCCTGCTGTGAACTAGTGGTAAACTTGGATGCAGGAATTTCCCTATCAGGACCAAATCGGGATGTAGTAATTGTTTTCGAAGCTTGAAAGCGAACAGGTAATGGAGTGAAAGTCTTACTCACCTCTTCAGATTATATGGCAGCACCCGTTCGAATCTATTTGAGCGACAGGTGATGACGGTGGTAGATTCCTATGGATAGACTTCGGCCCTCCAAGCGGCGAACAGGTATGAAATACCCAACCCTGTAACGATAAGGTACATAGAGTGAACAGAAAATTTTCTGACAACTAAAAACAACTTGTGAATAATTTATCAAAGGTATGAGGTGATACCCGCACTAGTAAACAATGGGCGCGAACAGAGATTCCTAGTCAACTGTTTATCACACGGAACCATAACAGACAACAACAATTCCAATTAACAATTTGAACATTGGAATTGTTTGTTTAACACAGCTACAGTTTTTGTAGCTGTGTTAAACAAACAACTCCAATGTTCAAACTTGTTCTAATTTTAGGAAGTGGACCTAATTACATCAGCAAAAGCGATACTTTTCATTCTGCACTCTTTTTTGGCTACAAAAGTCTAGAGGTTAGGCCTCTGTGCTTGAAGAGCTATGAAGCTGACGAGGGAGGCGAAACATAGATAAATAATGAATCATAAACAAACAACTATATACGAACAATGGAAGGGGATAAATTAAAGAAAAGCGAACCTTAATCGTGGCCTCCGGATAACCGTGTGCGTTTCCAATCCCTCGGTTTCTTCGCGGATCAATGGCCTTTGCGGTCAGCCTAGTAGATTGCACTCGGAACAAGGTTCTGAAACACAACATGTTAAGGATAGATGAAATTGAGAACTGGAAGACGTAATATTGGAAGAAAAAAGAGGAAGGAATGAGGAGACAAGCGACCGTAGCGCCTCGATCCGAGGCACGTGCAGCCGCGAGAATGACTCAGTGCCCAATCGGGAAGGAAAGAGCAGTCACGGTCGAGATCTGGCCGGAAAAGACAATAACTGTTGGAGGATTGAGAGACGCGAGGGCGACGGTGACACAGATTGACGCCTAAATAGAAAGGGCTTACGGAGCAGGTCACCCATAAGGAAGGTTTGCTACAAGTAGCAACGGGGGGAATCGTTTCAATTGTCATGGCACGGAGGGCGGATGAGGTCGTACTCTCTCCGAGCTGGCCGGCAGTAGGATTTGTGGTAATCTCTCTATTGATCATAACCATGTTTCAGGAAGAGCATGAGAAAGAAAGACTTGCAGAAACAGCAGCTGCAAGACATGTAGCATCGTTCAAAGAAGTACTCCCACCATGACATGGGTCCACCCACGAAACCACATTTGAAACTAAAGTGTAGCTGGAGTATTGCCTAAGACAACATGGACAATAGTCACCACATTACGTTTACGTAAGATAATTGATGCTAGAGCATTTGTAAGCCGCTTTTCAGATATGATTGGAGAGAGAATGATTTGAATTTTTTATATCAAATAACTCCGACACAAAAGATCGAATATGAAGAAAGTTATAGCCCGAAAAAGAGGAAGGTGGAAATTGTAGTGCAAACTCATTTCCTGCTCAATAACTTAATTATTTCAGATTGTTTAAGAACAAATCCGCTCCACTTGAGAAGGATGACCCTTGCTGATCCAAAATCCACCTCCGTCTTGCGAGAAACCTGAAATTTTCCAAGGAAAAGTTCCTATACTTCTCGATTTCCCATTTCGACACCTGCTCCCATTCAACAAACGCGCCCCATTGCAGCACCCAGCGCGCGATTCAATACATTCGAAACCTGTCAACACGCGTTTCCACTACCTTCTCGGCATTCTCAATCATTTCCCCCACTTCTCCATAATATGACGCCACAACCCACCCGTTTTCTCCAGCGGAGAATGCTTAATGACGTACTCTGAATCTCCTATGAAAACTCACCAGTAGGATTTTGGGCACAATGTGGCTGGGGGGGGGACACTCTGTAGAAACGTCTCTGGGACTAAGCCTGCGCATTTTGTTTAGTCCTGATCTCGTGAAGGATGTACTTCACTTTGATTAGTCCTGATCTCGTGAAGTTTGAAATGTTCTATTATTTTATACTTTTCCAGGGTGAAAAGAAACCTCATTATAGAGATAAAAGGAATAAAAAATTGGTATGAATTGTGTCTTCATAAA